TCCCCGACCCTTTGTCTTCCTAATCTTTTTTTTCTTTTTTTGAGGAAGATTAACCCTGAGCTTAAATCTGCCACCAATCCTCTTCTTTTTCTTTTTGCTGAGGAAGATTGGCCCTGAGCGAACATCTGTGCACATCTTCCTCTATTTTATATGTGAGACACCTGCCACAGCCTGGCTTGATAAGTGGTGCGTAGGTCCACATCGGTGGACCCCTGGCTACCAAAGTGGGTCATGCAAACTTAACCACTGCACCACCAGGCTGGCCCCATTGTCGTCCTATTCTTGATAGGGTTACTAGTCCTGTGGATACTTGCCCTGTGCTCTTAGTTCTCACTCACATTTAGAACCCTTGTTCCCAAAGCACAAAACCATCCTAAGTTGTAGGGATCCTGAGGAACTTCCAGGATTAGACCCCGAGCGTTGATGGAACCAGCCTCCTCCTGCCCAAAATTACAACATGTGGACCCTTGTGTTGAGTATCAAATCAGAATCTCTGGAGAGTGGAGTCCAGATACAGGTCTTCTTTCTCTTTATAAATCAGGAAATTGAGGCCCAAAGAGATCAAGTCATCTGCTTAAGACAGCACGTAAACAATTGTACCAAGCAAAACAGTCAGCCCTCCATGCTAGTGCCACCTTCCAGCGTCCAACGGCACTTCTCTACCACGTGTTATGCTGCAAGAGAATGCTGAGAGCATTTTAAAGCTTCTCTTGGTGAATAGCTTTCATCAGTGGTTCTCAAAGTGTGGTCCATGGATCCTTGGGGGGGTCCCTAAAACTCTTCCAGAGGGTCCACAAGATCAAAACTATTATCACAAAAATACTCCAACCTTATTTGCCTCTTTCACTGTGTTGACATGTGACTGATGGTACAAAGCAATGGATGGTAAAACTGTTGGTGTCTTAGCATGAATTAAGGCAGTGGTCCCGAACTATATTAGTTGTCATAGAATTCTTCACTGATGTATAGTCACGGTTAAAAACAAACCAATAAACAAAAAGTTTTACTTAATAATGCCTGTGATGCATCAGTAAAAATTGTTAATTTTGTTAAATCTTGTCAACTCATGTAAAAGCCATTTTAATGCCCTGTGTAATGAAATGGGAAATATGTGCAGAGTGCCTTGGCTGGATTTCCTTGAAATGGTGGTCATCTTGAGGAAAAGTGCCTGTAGGATTGTTTAAGTTGCAAGCTGAACTAACCACTTTTTTCATGGAGTACAATTTTTAGTTGAAAGAACAAATGATGGTTATTCAGCCTTGGATGTTTGGCAGACATTGTGTCAAAGACGAAGAAAGCAGGCCTGCCACTTAAGGAAAAACTAAAAGTATCTGTTGCCAGTATAAAAAATCCAAGCTTTCAAGCTATCATTGCTGTCCCTCCTCTGAACTAGGGACTTCCAGTTTCTTTGAATATTCTTTTTGCCTCTCTCTTTCTCTCTTCCCCTTCTGGGACTCTCATTATGCCAATATTATAAGCTTGATGGTGTCCCAGAGGTCTCTGAGTCTCTGTTCATTTTTCTACGTTCTTTTTTCTTTCTGTTCCTAAGACTGGATAATCTCAATTATCGTCTTCAAGTTCTTTGATTCTTTATTCTGCCTGCTCAAACCTGCTGTTGAGCCCTCTGAATTCTCTATTTTGGTTATTGACTTTTCAACTTTAGAATTTCTATATGGTTCTTATTTATAATTTCTTTGTCTTTATTGAGACATTGTTCTCATGCTTTAGCTCTTCAGACATGGTTTCCTCTAGTTCTTTGAACATACTTAAGATAGCTAATTTAAAGTCTTTGTCTAGCAAGTCTATGGACAGTTTCAGTTGACTGCTTTTTTTCCTGTATGTGGACCAAACTGTATTCTTTCTTTGCATGTTCTGTAGTGAAAACTGGACGTTACAAACAATACAATATGGCAACACTGGAAATCAGTGTTGGATTTCAATGGAAGCAATGATTTCAGTGGAAATCAATATGATATGGCAACACTGGAAATCAAACACCTTCTCAGGGCTTGTTATTTGTTTGTTTAGTGATTTTTGTGAACTAATTCTTTAAAATCTGTATTCTTTGTTGTTTGTGGGCACTGAAGTCTCTGCTCAGTTAGCTTAGTGGTCAACTAATGATTGGACAGAGATTTCCTCAGATGCCTAGAACCAGTAAGTCTCCCAGTTTTTGTTGGGGGGCGATGTGTGCAGGTTGGGGCATGCCTTTAGTGCTCAGCCAGGCAGTTGACAACTCTGCCTTAGCCTTTACTTCCTGCTAGCGCAGAGCCTTAAGGTCAGTTAGAGGTGAGAGCTTAGTGTCTTCTCAGGTCTTTCCTGAGCATATGCACATCCCAGGACATGCTCACAGCCTCACAATGTGCATGGCCTTCTAGATGCCCAGGAATATGTCGCAACTTTTCAGTGCCTACCATAGACACCTCATTCTTCACCTTTCCCTTTTGATCTTTCTGGTTAGCCTATTGTGTGCCTCAGTTGTCACCCACTGCCTCAGGCAGCCATGATGTTAAACTATTGCCTCTGAATTTTTTTCTGATAAAGACCCCCAGGTAAAATGTTCACGCTAAGTGAGCTCTGAGTCAGATCACGTAAAGACAGTCTTGTGAGTGGGACCTTCCAGAGAACCACCAGACAGCTCGAACAGTTACAGTTCCCTGGGAATGGGGCTGTGGAGTTGCTCTCACCCCTGTTCTGTCCCCTCCAGTGGCTGCCAGGCCCCTGGTTTTCACCGTGATTGTGGTCTCTTGGTTTACAACACTATCATGGAGCTGAGGGTGGGGATAGGATGAGGGCAAGTTAAAATGCCAGAGAATTTGTTATTCTTACTGAGATTCAGTGATTTTCCATGAATAAATGCTCCCCATTGCTTTTGTTTAGTTTTCAGAGTTCTGAAGAAGTTGATTCAGACAAATCTTCCTGGTGTTTCTACTGCTTTTAAGGAGGAGAAAATTTCCAGAGGTCCTTATTTCACCAGTTTTACTGATACCCTTTGCCTTCTATTTCTCCCATGGAACTTAGCACAGAATTGACTTATATCATTATGATAAATTAGTATTCATATTATTTCCCTTACTAGAAATTTGGAAAACTTGTATTCTTCATCATAAACTTGGCAGTTTCCCAATGCTTCAAAATTGTATTAATGAATGTGATTTTTAAAAATATTGTATGATGAAATATATTAATATTTAGAAGATCTCATGAACTAAGTTTTTCCAAAATGACCAATACATGATGTTACAAAATCATGCATGCATAAAAGATGCATGTAAAGTGCAACATGGACTAATAGATTTTATGTAACTAGTAGGGAAAGTTCATCAATAAGGTTTCAGATTCCACACTGCGACTAATCTTTGTGTAGTGTCAAAAGAGATTATCTGAAATCATATGAAAAGACTATAAAAATACTCCTTCCTTTTCCAGCTACATATCTGTGTGAGGCCAGATTTTTTTCATATACTTCAACCCTAACAAAGTATTGCGTCGTATTGAATGCAAAAGCAGATACAAAAATCCAGCTGTCTTCCATTAAGCCTAAAGATACATGAAAAAATGTAAAGCACTACTTATGAAATTTTACTTTGTTTTGGAAAAGTAGAGGTATTTTTCATAAAAATATGTTGTTTATGCTAACATGTAATAAGTTTATTTTTGTTGTTTTAAAATGAATAGATAGTTTTAAATTTTTCTTAGTTTTCATTTTAATATAAGTATTGATAGATATAATTCCTATGAACAAACGCTCTTTGGAGTCCTCAATTATTTTTGAAAGTGTAAAGGGGTCCTTTTTCCAAAATGTTTCAGAACCTCTGGTTTGGACCAATCCAGGGGGTTCGAACTCAGAAGAAACCCCAACCTCTTAAGGTCACATGTCCCTCTTTTCCTTTAACATGGAAATGATTAATTTAGAAAGAACCTGGAGTATTCAAGCAAGACTTTCACAACAAGGTGAAGGAATGTGGCTGCTTCCTTCAGCCAACAGGAAAGGTATGCAAGGAGGGAACACAATTAATTGTTCAGGGAATTTCTTCCAGGATGGTTTGCATTCCTGTCAGATCACTGTGGGGCACACAGCTTACTCTGCTAGCATCTTGCAGAGATTCTAAACCCAGACCCTACTCTCGCCATTTCAACTGCTACCACTGAAGACTCTTTGAACTTTGTACCATGCAACTCAGCACAGAAGTGACCTACAAGGTTCTCTGAGAAATTCATATTATGATATCTAATATAATATTAGAAAAACAATAGATTTTTAGTTGTTTTAGGGCTGAACACGATGTCCCTCACATCTCCTTGACTCTTCCTCAGCTCTTAACATAATATTGGTATATATTCTACACAAGTTGTCACTTGACCCATCAAGGTGAAAACATAGGACAGAAACACTTATTTGCAAAAATGATCTATCTACACTCTGCCTTTTCCCTTCTCTGAATGTTAGTTTCCTAACAGGATAAACAGAGCTAGGCTTCAGAGTCAGAAGGCTCTCGTTTCCTGTCCTAGCTCCACCACTTACCAGCTTGGTCACTTTGGGGAAACTCTTCAACTTTTCTCAGCCTCAGTTCTGCACACAGGGATCGGCTAGCACATTGTTTAACAGCAGAAGCATTCAACAACTACTGGGTCCCTTGCCCTATTTTTCTGCACTTCCTCTTTAGGATGCTTAGAGATAATTATCCAAGACATGTCAACCACAAACCATAACTCTCTCAAGGCGTTCATTAGCCAGTGAGAAGTTAATTATACTTAATCCAGTTTCTTTTCCTCTGTAGTGTACTTAGGATGACTTGTCAAATCGTATATCAGCTAAAACACATGTTCTATAAAATCATACATTACTAAATCATAACATTTTCCCATCTGTTTACTTAGTCATTCAGAAGTTAAATGTGTTTAGCCCAGTTATTTTCTCCATACTTTTCTAAAATTCATTTTGTTTTCCCTCCTTGATTCTTGAGAACCATCTCTGTTCCCCTCCTTTGCTGATTTCTTACCTCGTTCTTTGTGCCTTTTGGCCTTATCTTCTTCTCTTCCTTTCTCATCTTTCCACACAGTCGTGGTACCTTCAGGGTAAGTGGTTTCTCTGGCAGAGGGATCATGGCCTGGATACATCAGGGATTTTCCAGTAGCCCCTGGTGCTGTTTTATGCTCCTTGTAAGCTCTTAACTGACGCCAAATCTCCGAGAACTAATGGGAAAAGGCATGAAGGGAAAGACATGCACAATCAAGGTGAAACTCAGGCAAAAATCACCTTTTTCCATCCTTCCTCAGTTTTAATTGAGAAGACCTAAGCCTAATTAATGATGAGGAGGATGAGGATGTCTCCAAGGGTGGGCCAAAGACAGTTTGTAACAGAATGTGTTTGGGATCTTTAAAAGCAGATTCTCAGGCCTCTGACCCACAGATTCTGGTTCAAGAATTTTAAATAGAGCTCCCTGCTGATTCTTCTGCACACTTCTTGGGAACCAGAGGTGACCTGGCCTTAGCACTTCCTCATCTTTTCCTTTTAATTATTGAGTTATATTTGACATACCACGTTGTGTAAGTTTAAGGTGTACAACATATAGATTTGATACATTTATATTGCAATATGATTGCGATAGTAGAGTTAGCTAACACCTCTATCATATCATATCATTATCATTTTAGCACTTCCACATTCTTGTAGCATACATGTGCATAAAGTTTCTGCTTTGCAAAGCCCCTTCACATTGATTTTCTCATTTGATCCTCAGAATAACCTTGTGAAGTAGACAGGAGTCGGTACTGTTTCCCCCAAAACGTTACCCTAAATTTCAGTCTCCCCATGCTGTTGGCCAAGACAAAGCTGGATATTAGCTATGGGTCGGGCTTGATGAACCTCAGCCACCCCTGAGTGGCTTCTACTTGGGATCGAGGTTACTAACAAAACAAGATATTAATGAAATTGGAATTAGTCTATGATTTCCAAAAATGAAGTCTATGTGAATGGGCACCCAATGATGAGGGCTTCTGAGCACATATGATCTCGAGGAGACAAACGGGTCCCTCCAGTGAGAAAGAGCGAGGATAAGGAAGACTGTGTGTCGTAGCTGTGAGCATCTAACACTGACCCTCCTCAGTTACATATTTGTTCACATTTTACACAGATCAGTCAATAAACATCTAAGCATCGCCATTAAGTCCAAGTCAGACCCACAGCTCCTGCCTTCTGAAAATGGTTGTCGACTTCTGAGCTGGATAATACATAGAGTGAGATCAGCAATGTTGCAATTACAATGAGGTCGAATGAGATCAATAAGAGTACAAATTATAAAGCAAGTGTAACAAATTTTTATTGGGACCGCAGAGCCTGGAGCAGGGTCCTAGTGGGAAAAGTCAGCAAAGCAGGTCAGGCTCCAGGCTCAGTGTGGCTCCAGTCAATAAAGGGAGGGTCCAAAGAGCACCATCCCTCCTGGAGCAGGGAGGGCAGGCTTGGTGTGATCCAGGATTCAGTTTCTTCCCTGCTGGGCCAAAGCAAACACCAGGCTTGGACTATGTAAGTCAGGATGGCATGTGGACACAGGTTTCCAGCCAGAGGGGCTCACAGACTGAGGTTTAGATCTAATAGTCATGTTAAATTACAGAGGAAATGGCACTATTCTTCAAACACATGATCCAATTAATTATCTTTACAGCCTCCTGGCAAGAACCGTGCCTTCTTAGCATGGTCTTAGAAAGAGTGGTTGCTTACGCTGTTCCACTACGTGAAGTAGAATGCTTTGGTTATTTGTGTACAATATCTCACTCCAGAATATAGAGTGAGATTTTCAAATTCCTGTAACATAAAAATAACTTAAAAGGAGAGAAGAAGAAACTAGCATATAAAACATTTCCCCCTTCATCTAAGTAATTCTCAGCATTTTCAGTGTGGGGTAAGATTGTGCAAAGTCTTAAGGGAAAATGCTGATTCCTGGAAACTGGTTGCCTCTGACCACAACCCCTTTGCCAGAGACACCACAGGTCTGCTTGAGTGTGCAATGCAAACCACGGCCATTTTCCGTGCGTGCCATGGTGTGAGAAATGTTGGCATGCACGTCCAGACATGGCAAGCTTACCTGTATCTTCTCTTCATCCTAGCTGTACCAAAAATGACACTGCTGTTTATCAAGTCTCTGCTAAAAACTGTTTTGGAATGATCTGCTGTTCTGCTTCCATTGAAGTTGAGTGCTCGTTAGAGAACCTACAAGTCTCTCCTCACCCAGAAGATGACGGGGACACAGGTTGGAAACATGAAACAGAGACATCGGAGCAGGAAAGCACAAATCAACTTGGTGGGAAGGATCATCCTTATAAGGAAGAAGACAGCCCCTCCTCGGGTGCTCCCATGTCAGCTGATTCCCCTTCCTCCAAATTCAACTGTTTATGGTCACTCCAGTTATTGGCCAGTAATGATGTTAGTGCATCCAGTTCTGAAAATCCCTTGGATGTTAAAGGAACCGGGCAAACTGAAGCGGCTTATGATCCAAATAACACAGAGGACATTGCAGATGGATTACTTTTTCCTAATTCGAGTAATATTCCCGATAAACAAGATATACCTTGCCAGAACACAGTGCATTCCAAAGTGTCAAGGTCAATGGATGGTGCCTTAAATGATGATGTCTTGATCTCCAGTCTTCAAAATCCTGAAGTACAGAAATGCATTAGCTTCAGCCTACCGCTGTCAGAGGCAGTCGCATCCGTTTACCCAGGTGAGAGAGCCACGATCAACAAGCAACTCAGCCCACAGGTTTCCAGCAAAGACTCTGACAGTGACTATGAACTTTGCCCAGAGATAACCCTAACCTGCACCGAGGAGTTTTCAGATGATGACCTGGAGTATCTGGAATGTTCCGATGTTATGACGGATTACTTTAATGCAGTTTGGCAAAGGAACCTGCAGGGAACTGAGCATGTTTTTTTATTAGAAAGCGATGACGAAGAGATGGAATTCAGTGAGTGTTGCCTGGGTGGGTGTGAGCACCTCCTCAGTGAAATGGGTTGTGGGCCTCGGGTGTCAGATGACACTGGGCCTATGGATGCCACCACTGGCTTCTGTGGTTATCACTCACAACCCCAAGAAGTGGGGATAAGGAGAAGCGGAGCCTCCACCCACAGTCCCTCATCCCTGCAAACAGGGATGACTCTGACTTTGGGACCTCACCAGGATGGAACGTCTACGGTGATGGACCGGGGGAGATACAAACTACCCATTGCTTCTGAGGCTGCTGAAAATGATTATCAAGGAGTTCAAGGAGAAACCAGAGACAGCAACCAAGGAGAGGAATTTGCCAGTGACAATCTGCTAAACACGGATAAAGCGGTGACAGAGACAGAGATGAAGCACTTATCTGGTGAATTAGAAAAGTCAGGGATGAAGCAGTGTTTGAAGACCGTAGTGGAGAAACGAGTAGGGGAAGAGGATTTATTGAGCAAGAGAGGTTCAGAGAAACCTGCCAGGGTGAGGCGACCAGGAATTAAGGGAAAACCCAAGAAGCTGAACCCCAACGTGAAAGAAAGTGCAACAGAAGACACCCTTAATCTCCTCTATCCCAAAGAACCTGTTAAGCACCCACTAACCCAGGGTGATAAAAGAGCAAGTTCTTATGCCAAAGCAGAAGCGACTGGTCTGAATTCCCAGTTCCGTGCAGGAGAATGTGCTGTTTCAGCCGAAGCAGAGCAAGAAGCAAAAACCCCACAAACTACGCCAGGCTCACTCCCCAAAGAAGGGAACTCACCCTTCAGGGGAGGAGGGGTGCGGGTTAATAGGCCGTTTGAACTGAGCCGGGTTCCAGACTGGAGTGACCATCCTCAGGTAAGACTCCTCTTTTTGAAAATTACAAGATACAAGTATTTGTGTATGTGTGTGTGTGTGTGTCTTCCTTCACTTCACATTCACGATCGCTGTGCCACCATGTAAATCAAAGTAAGTCCCCCAATACCGTCAGGATACTTGTGGAGAACAGCTGCTGCTGCTGCTGCTACTGCTGGGAAGGAAATCTGGTTTTGAAAAAAGGCCCAGATAAACCCTAAGCCATCCTAATTATAGCCCAAGACAGATAGAAGTAAGAGGCACTAATGGGATTCTGGACAGCTGGAAAAAGAAATCTGATATTTTGTCTACTGCCTGGGTTTTACCAGGGCATGTCACTATTCAGGAAGTTTTTCAAGCAAATGTTTTGGGTGTAGCCTCTAAAAGAAAAAAAAAACATTCTTTTCAGTCATTTTTCGGGGGCACTTTGAAAATAGTAAGTGCTGTCTTTAATCAGAATTCATAGTTCATACGAAAAGACTTGTAGGATTTACTTAGTGATGCTGGAGAAAGTAGAAGTAGATTTTGCTGTGCTGGTGGGGCATTTTTGATTGTATGTGTATTTTATTTTGTTTTGTGTAGACCACACAGTATAAAAGAGACCAAGAAAATACTGCCAGGAAGTAAATTTATTTTACCCTATTACTGACTTGGGGGTGTATTTGAAAGAGATGGAATTGAATTAATGGGAATAATTAATGCACAGAGGATGTTGTGCTTGATATATGAATTTATTATAATCTTAATTTTAAAAGGTTCCAAATGGGCTTTGAAATGATGCTCTACTGTGGTCAAGATTTGATTTTTGTAATACATAAGGAAAGTTATTTGTTAATTATTTTTACTATACTTGTGTTCTCCCTTCCCCCAACTTTCTAGTGTGAACCTAGTATTGTTTTTATAGAAGACTAGATATACTCCAAAGAAAATAAAATATTGCAAAATGCACTCAAAGTTATTGAACTCTCTCTGTGAAAAAGTAAAAATTTAATACATTGATTTCCAAAGACCCAGTAATAAAATAGCCAATCTAAAAATCTCCAACTCTGAGGTAGCTTCTTTCTGAGTAGATTATCCTGTTCCACTGGCCAAATTAGCTATATAAATATAGCTACATTTATCCTTTACTTTTTGCAGAGAGCCAGCTTTATCCTAGTTGGTTAACACATGCCAGTTTGCTGATCACACACCAGTGGCCACAGATTCATGCCCAAGATAAGTTTATGGAGGTGGTTTGGCCAAATATTACTACAAAACTAAGTTACAATGTTAATTTTTTCATGTCAATGACTATAGCATTTCTTTTTCTATTCATAAAATGATCTTTTTGGCTCAGCTAAGTGCCTTTTTACAGTTGTTCATCCATGTTGAGAGTTTCACTGGGCAAATTACTTTATTAAAAGTTGCGGGGGTGGGGGGAGTTAAAGTGGCCAGAAAGGAGTATGGAGGGGAGGGGACTATTGACAATGTCCCACCACTGTGGGAGGCAATTTCCAGCTCCCTCAACTGCCTAAAGGAAGAAGCCCCCTTTGTCACCCTCCGCTTGTGCCCTAACCTGAGTTCTGAGATTGAGAGTCCTGGTGACCAGCAAGCTCCCTTGTGTACTGGCAATGCAGCTACGTAAAATGGGCCATCTCTGAGACCAAAGTCGTGTGTCTTGTGCACATTCTTGTCTCTATCAAATTCTTATGGGACTCTTGCTTATACACTCACACCTTCATGAATGCACACTCACCTCACCAGATATCAGTTCAAGGTCCGACCTGCATTGTGTGGCACGCCTAAGGCAATTATCTCAGAGCTATGAACAAGACTTCTTAGCAAATTTGCATTCTGCAGGTAGTCGGACCACGTCTCCCTTTGCTGCGCTCAGTAGCAGAGCCAACCTCTCCCTCGAGGGCCAACCAGAAACTTGAGTGGAAGCTGTCTATTCAAGAGCACTTCTGTGCAGCCTGAAGTTAGAGATAGGATCTCTGGATCTGTGGCGTTTATTTTCCCGGGACTAAAGCAGGGAAATTTTGCCACAGGGATAAGCAGCATAGTGAGTGCAAATTCTTTAACTCATGCAAAAAGTTACTAACTGTAGGAGAGGTCTGTATTTCTCACACACATACACAGTATGGCCAAATTTACAGCAAATGGCTAAACATCATTGTAAATGTGACAAAAAGCATTGGGCCATCGAGAACTAAATCAAACTTTTTATAATACTGTTCAAAAGAAAGATTGGTGAGTCTTTTCATAACCAATTTAAAAGACATTTTAAATATTTATTCTCAGACATCTGAGGCTTGTGGGAGCTTAAAAATTTGAAATGGTTAAAAATCTTTGGTTGGGGGTAATATTAGCAAATTTGCCCGCTCTTGACTCTTGCCTGATTCACTTACCTTCAGGTGTCTTGTTGTAGAAACAGTGACCAGCAGCTTATCTTTAGTATGTTGTCTTCATCTGTATATTACTTTCAGCATTCTGAGAAAAATTCCGTGTCTCTAATTCTGCATTATAAGAACAAGGCTATATTGTAGAATACCTCTTGCCCAAACATATGTCTCCAGATGTATTTACTTCCTGTATTCTTTTCCTTCTTTTACAATGCAAAGCCATCTTGTTCTGATTTGTCTTCAAATAGTACTTACTCAGGCTAGCACTGGAAAGCCCCCAACTTCTCTACATTTATGGAAGATTATAAAGTTAATCCCAGTTTGGGAGTGGAAAACCAAGAGGGTACCCCAGGCTAACTTGAATCTTCTTCAAGGGTCACAACACCAATCCTTCACCTTGGTTTTGATCTCACTTTCCTGATCCAACTCAGAGGCAAGACCTGACAATCCACCCATCTTAAGTTTCTCCGTAGCCACACTGGGGTAAGATCATCCTCACTCTTAAATCAAAAGTGCTGTGTCTGTCCTTCTGCATAGCTGCCCAGCTTCACCCCAGAGCGATTTGCATTCCTCTTTGGGGTCATGGGGTCTCAAGTGGACAGTATGGAAATGTATTCTTAGGTTCCCATAGTTAAGAATCTTCCTGATCAGGAGTCAGCATTAAGCATAGATGGTGAGCTCCATGATGGCTGTGAGTCTGGTCACTGTATTCTGTCCACTGATATATCCCAAGTCCTTGGAAAGTGCTTGCCATATAAAGACACTCAATAATTGAATGAATAAGTAGCCATACAGTACTAGATTAAATTCCAGGTATAGTCAGGAATGATTCTAATGATCATTGGTCTCAACCACTTTATGGCCTTCATTGTCATAAGTACATTCTTTGGTTCCCTTCATATAACCAATTTTCCACTAGGAAACTGCTTCCCATTGCTCTTGTGGCCCTGAGAATGGGTTGGTTTGTGCTAAACTCTCCGCTCCTTGCTCTTGGGTTCCCTTGTGAATGCTGGTGATTCACACACAACCTTGGCCTTCTCAGTGCCTTATTAGCTCTCACAAATTGCTAACTAGACCCAGGAAGATCTGACTACATCTCCCTAGCATTCAAGACCTTCCACGATATTGCTTCCATCTACCTCTGAGAGGCAAAGCAGGCGGACACGTGGATTTCCTCATCTGGAAAATGAAGCATTTTCTCAGACGTGGGGTTTTTTCCATCTTGTCTGGAATGCCCTCGATTGCTCAGCTTGTTGCCAGCTCAACTCATCTAGTCCTTCAAGGCCAAGATCCTGCGGGGTCCTTGAAGTTGCACCTCCCCCAAAGCACTTTCCTCATCCCTAACTATGATTTCTCCTTCCAGAGCGACACAGCATTCTTTGTACATTGTCGTGGGCTCCAGGCCTGAGTTTGGTTCCTGTCCTGTGGCTTTCTGTCTCTGGGACTCTGGGAAAAACTACTTGAGTTCTCCCAGCCCCAGTTTCCTCATCTAAAACAGAAATAATAGTAATAATAATAATGCTTACCTCATAGAGTCTTGTGAGGATTAAAATCTTGCATGTAAAATGCTCAACACAGAACCTATTATGCAGTTAACATTTAATGAGAATTATCATTTGTAGTTTGTTTATTTACCTTAATACATTTGTCCTTTCTCCCCATATTAAAGACATACTGAGGGCTGGCTACAAGTGGTTTTGTATCTTTTTTTAATTGAAATTTTTATTGAGATAATTGTACATGCACGTGCAGCTGTAGGAAGTAATTCAGAGAGATCGCGGTACACTTTGCCCAGGTTCCCCCAATGGTACCATTTTGTAAAACAACAGTATAATATCACAACCAAGATACTGACATTGATCCCATCTACTGATCTTATTCAGATTTTCTAATTTTACTTATACTTGTGTATGTGTATATGTGTGTGTGTGTGTGTGCACATTAATATCTATAGAAATTTATCACCTGAGTAGGTTCATGTGATAAACGTAGTATGAAACTTCATGTTAATCTAAGTTCAGCCTAGTAACTAGGCAGGTGGTACAGTAACACACTAGAGTATATGGCAGCTTGAAATATGCATGGCCATTCAGTGACAGACAGGGCACACAGTAGGTCTCAAGTAAATATTATTTTTAAGCGTAGGAAAATATAAGCAGATAATCTAAACCTTCTTGCAATATAGTTTCATATCTGGGACAGAACAACCTGAGATTTGAATTCACTTGCATAATAAACTGCATCCTCCCCAAATAACAACTGTTAAAACTGACTCCAGAAGCCTGATAAGCCAGCTCTCTGCTGATGACCGGAAGGGCAGAAGTTTATAATCGCTCATCTCTCAGCACGTGGCCGTCACGCCTCTTGTCAGCACCACTCCATGGCTGACCCAGGGAGTGACACAAACATTTGTTTTGTTTTTAATCAGAAAGCCCACTGTGCCACTTCTGCCGAATGCCAGTACTGTAGAGGTGCAAGATGATTTAATACGCTGGCTCACTACACTAATTGGACTCAGCCAGGGTTAAGTAATCAATGGGAAGTCATTAGTACCTACAGCCTTGCTGTTCACAGTGCGCTCCACAGACCAGCTGGTCAAAATGCAGGATCGCAGCGCCCCCCCCCCCCCCCCCCAGTCTTGCTGAATCAGAATCTGCATTTTAATCCCCTTCTTAGGGGATTCATATGCCCGCTGAAGTTCTGGACGCCCTTGTCTACAAGGAGGAGATCTTTCTTAGATTAGAAAAGAGGCTAAAGCAATGGTCTCAACCCTGGCTACATCTGGGAACACCTGGAACCTTGATACATTCTGATGCCTGAGTTCTGCCCCCAAAGATTCTGATGTAATTTGGTCTGTGGGGTAGCCTGGGCGTTGGGGGTTTTAAAGCTCCCACGTGATTCTCTGACCCTCCAAGGCTGAGAATCTTAGCTGTGCTTTAGAACCATTCCTGGTATTTTCTAAGTATACAGTTGCCCAAGCCCCACCCCCAGAGGTCCTGATTTCAGAAGTTCTAGGGCAGGGCTCAGGCTCCTGCGAACTAGAGCCCGCAGCAAGTAGAATGCAAGGGTGGCCTGGGGGTCTCCAGGTTCCAGACCCACAGAGCAGGCCCGCAGAGGCAATGGGTATTCTCTACGCATCAGACGTTTCTGCGCTAGTACATTGTACGCATTCCTAAAACACCTCACATTCTGCAAAATCAAACACCTGAAAAATAAGGGCTTCTGGGGAAGATAGCATTCTTCACAGGTCACTTCATAAACAGGCCTTTTTACAACCAGAGACAAAAGCAGAAAATGTCTCCAGGAAGCTCACTTGGACCACCCAGGGACCACCCTGAGGTGGCGCAGGTTGGCCAACAGCTGTCATGGCAGATGCTAAAAATACACAAGATAATTGAGTGGAAATGCTGGCAGCCCTGTAATTAGAGCAAGCTGGAGGGTGCTGAGGCCAGGAAGACAGAGAGGGTCTCTGGGAACGTGGGCCTGTGAGGTCAACCTGCCTCAGGCACTCAGGGCTGGAGCGTGCTTCTCAGGAGAGAGGAGGCCTGGGGCAGGCTTCATTTGTTATTTTATTAAAATGCGACTTGAAAGGGTCCCTGTTGCCAATGCAAAAGCTGAATTAAAGACTATTCCTTTCCTGCTTAAGATTCTGTAATTTACTCCAGCTATTTAGGGCCCAGTTGCTTAGGAAAAACTGCGTATAAACCAACGCAGCGTCTGGGTCATAATGACGTCATTCCCCAGTTAACCCATCTGCTAGGGCTAACTCATTACAGAACACGTGTTATAGTGCAGAGACAGCATCACCCCGCCTCCGTGAGGGCCCCTAGGTGTCCTTCTGCTCAGGTGCTCTGAGTCCTCGGGCAGAGCATCAAAGTGAGGGCCTGGATTATTTGTGTTGGAATCACCTGCAAAGGTGCATGTTTAAAAATAGAGATCTCTAAATTTTACCCCAGACTTATTTTTTTTTTTGAGGAAGATTATCCCTCAACTAACATCTGCTGCCAATCCTCCTCTTTTTGCTGAGGAAGACTGGCCCTGAGCTAACATCCGTGCCCATCTTCCTCCACTTTCTATGTGGGACGCCTACCACAGCAGGGCTTGACAAGCAGTGCCATGTCCGCATCCGGGATCCGAACCAGCGAACCCCCGGCTGCCGAAACGGAACGTGCTAACTTAACCCCTGTGCCATCGGGTTGGCCCCAAGACTTCTTGAATCTGCGCTTTTAATAAGCTCTCTAGGGGACAGTAAAATTTAAACCATGGGCTTAATTAGACTGAGACCTGGAGCGAATCCTACAATGTGAGGCGTTCCCATAAAGAATCAGAGGATTCTGGAAACAACAGGAAGTTTCGGGCTTGTCAAGTTTAACCTCTTCACCCTAAGAGGAAAAAAACCTCATGATTTGAATTTTTCTCTGCTTTCTAGTTGGCTTGCTATAAATGCGGCTTGTTCTTCACCTGTCCGGCCACTGAAATAAATACAGAGCCTGATTTATTGTAACTAATCCGGAACAGGTGTGCCATCTACAGCTGAACTTTATTTTGAGGAGTAGTTCAGTGACAGGAATTTGGGTGGCAGCAGTGGAAGCTGGTGAGAGGAGGGTCATCTGGCTGCGAGGGTGGGTTTTAGTCGCTGTAGCAGATCTCTCATCACTGCCCCGGGCGGGAGCTAATGCTGGAGACGTGCCTTAGTCGTCTTTTTTTTGCTGTGACTAAAAATGAACTTGCTTCGCTGAAATGAGATAGAAATAATATTGGACTAACCAATCATCTATCAATGTAAATGATAAAGCTATGGTCATCAACACAGTGTGGGAGTACCCCAAATAGATCAATAGATAAACCAAACAGAGCACAGAATCAGACCCAAGAATATACTAGAATTCGGTTTATGATAGAAATAGCCTCTCGAGTTGTAGGGAAGAAACAAAATCTTCACCGCTGACAAAATTGGCCATCCATATGGGAAAAAAAATAAGGCCAGTACCTTAAAATGGACCCCAAATAAACTCCAGGTGGTTCTCTGAGTTAAATATAAGAAAATAAAACTGTAAACTACCAGAAAAAATATTGGAAACTATTTTTATGACTTTGAAAACCATAAGATCTTGGGATACAAAGAACACCACCAAAAAAGAAATTGATAATTTTGACTACATCAACCATAAGCAAAATTAAATGAAAGTGACACACCAGGAGAAATATATAGAACATATGTAATAGACCAAGATTAATTTCCAAAGTATATGAAAAACAGATAAGAAAAATATTCCTAACTGAATTTTTAAAAAGTAAAAATAAATAAATATGAGGTTCATAAAGAGGCAATACGAATGTTTAATAAACATATGAGAAGTAAAACCTTATGAATAATTAGGAAAATATAAATTTTAAAAATATAACATCTTTCATCCATAGATAGACAAAAAATTTAAAGGATGATAATATCAAATTGTTGAGATTGTGGAGAAATGGGTACATTGCCAGCAAGAGTGTCATTTGGTGATATCTTTTAAAATTAAAAAGGGTATTACCCATTAGGTAGTAATGTCACTTGTCAGTATCTGCTCTTGAGAAAAGCTTGCACATGGGC